CTGGAAGACTGCAGAAAAAGTTAGTCAAGGGTGGACACATTACCAATTGGACTCGGTATTGGAGCACTTCCATTACCGCAGACAGAGCCCATTTTCCTTCAGTGTCCTTGGAACATGAGAAGTGTTTTGAACAAGTAATCCCAGGGACTCTATGACAGTGCCTGAGTGAATGGCAGAGCCCTATAAGGTCCACATTATAGGGCCAGGAGTCAGACTCAAACTCCATCCCAACCTACTCTTCCCACAATACCCCAAAAATGTAAGAGAGCCATTCCAGAGGCTGAGGCATCTGAGTTCCTCTAATGACAAAAGCTCTTAGATAACACGACACTTTGGTTAGGGAGGAGGGGTTAGTATTGCCTTTTTTTAGTTGATGAGCAGGATGAGAGCAGGGAGATTTCAGCCACAAGTCTCTCCTGGCTGCCTGTACCATCTGGCCCCTTACCAGCTTCAAACACATCACTCTGAGCTCTTGGCAAGTCAGAAGAAAAAGCTAGCACCCAAGAGACAATTGTTGAGGCTGCAAGGTGCAGAGCCCTTGCAGCATATGTGAGGTCTTGAATTCTCAAAGAGGTATACTTCAGGCCACACAAAGTGTCCTTCTCCAATGCAAGTGAGCTCCCACTCTCCAAAATCTCCAATTGTGAGTGAAATTCTTCTAATATACTGTTCAGCTCTGTAAGTCCCAGGCCAGGTGGAGGAGGTTCCACCCAGCCCCATCCTCCCCATCATGCCCAGAGTTCTTCTCTCACACCTTATCCTCCCCTCAGTGTCACAGGATTGGACCATTCCATTTTCAATGACACCTTATTTTCCAATTAAAATAATAACTGAAAAAGCATATATGATGTATTTATACTAGATATCACATTCACACTAGTTCCAAGAATCTGCAGCAAGAATGACCAGGGTATCTTCTCTACGACTGAGCCCATACAGTCAGCCTGGCAAAGCTCTCTCAAGATGCCTCCCTCTCACTGCCACATCTTCCAGGAGTGCTTGAATCAAGGTGCTACAACCAGAACAAGTACTGCTGTAAGCCTGCAGGTAATCACAACCTTCTCCTTTCTAAGGCTGCTGAGCCAGATTCCTTCAGAGGAACTGAGTACCAACCCCAGCAGTAAGAGGAGAGATTCACAGTCTTCAGCTCCCCATCTTCACTGCATTAAGCACCTGTGCCAAAGCATTCAAGCCTCAGTGTCCTTTCCCAGTGACAAGAGACACTGGGTCCTGATTCTTTGGGGCTATCAGATCCAACAGCTTCCTGACAACCTTCAGTTCACTTGTCATTTCTGCAAGTGGATTATTTGTTTTGTTATTTTAAAAAATTTTCATATACACACATTTCCATCAGAAAGACCCAAGCTACTCTGAACAGTGTTTCAAAGGAAAAGAAGCATAGAGGAAGGATAGGGAAGGTGGGGGCATCAAGGCATGAGCTAGTATTCCAGACCACCTGGGGAAGGCGGTCCTGCTCAAAACATCTCTAAGCACAGGTACAAAAATAAAGCAAACTATGACTTCATATAGATATATAGATATATAGATAAGCTAGCTAGATAGACTTTATATAGGTTTTCTGTATATTTATATATGTGTGCCGAGGGCATGAGCCCCACTCCTCCTGCCCAGCTTGAGTCTCCTGTCCTACCACTTCCCACTCCCCAGATGCCCCACTTGCCTGAAGCCTCCCACACTCAGCTATTACATCTGATCCTTATACCCACCCTCCCCTTACATAAGTTTCCCTCTCCTTAAAATAGAACAAATTTTATGTACTTATATAATTTTATATACAATCTCCATAAAAAATACACTAAAGATGGTATATTACTAATTTCGCCCTCCTACCTAAACAGAAGTTGCCTATCAAAGAGTCAACCAAAAAGAGGGTCATCTAGGCCTGATGCTACTCAGGCAAATTAGTGTGTCCTTACAAACCTATACATACACACACACATAC